TGAACTCCCTTCTTGGCCTGCGACATTTGTGTTGAGAAATCTGCTGAAAGCCTGATGGAGGTTCTCTTATGATTGACTTGTTTTAACTTTGGTGTACTTAGAATCATTTCTTTATCATGAAATTAGGTCCTTTTCATGACAACATGTGTTGTTGTAGGTCTCTTTGTGTTTCTCTTGTTTGGATCCCACTGTGTTTCCTGTATTAGGAGAGCTGATTCTTTATTCAGTTTGGGAAATGTTATTCTGATTCCTTCAATTCCCTTTTCCAAACCCTTTTCTCTTCCTTTTCCATCTGGGGTCCCTTTGATTCATAGAATGGCATACTTCTTATTATCTCAGGTTTGAAATACATGGCTTCCATTGGTTTCCACTTGCTTCTCTATGTCATGTTCAGATTGTGGGATTTCCCTTATCCTGTCTTTGTTTTTTTAGCCTTTTTTTATTGATTCATAATCATTTTCCAATATCCTGTCAAATTCGAGTGTAGAGCATAATTTTTCATTTATACGTGAACATGCATATATTCATTGTCACATTTGTTTTTTCTGTGAGCTACCATAAGACCTTGTATATATTTCCCTGTGCTATACAGTATATAATCTTGTTTATCTATTCTACAATTCTGAAATCCCAGTCTATGTTTTCCCACCCCCCACCCCCGTGGGAACCACAAGATTACATTCTATGTCTGTGAGTGTATTTCTATTTTGTATTTATGCTTTGTTTGTTTGTTTGTTTGTTTGTATAGATTCCACATATGAGTGATCGCATACGGTATTTTTACTTCTCTTTCTGGCTTACTTCACTTAGAATGACATTCTCCAGGAGCATCCATGTTGCTGGAAATGGCATGATGTTGTTGGTTTTTAAGTCTGAGTAGTATTCCATTGTATAAATAAACCAGTTCTTCATCCAGTCATCTGTTGATGGACCTTTAGGCTGTTACCATATCTTGGGTTTTGTAAATAATGCTGCTATGAACATTGGGGTGCAGGTGTCATCCTGAAGTAGGTTTCCTTCTGGATATATGCCCAGGAGCGGGGTTCCTGGTTCGTACAGTAACACTATTCCTAGTCTTTTGAGGATTCTCCATACTGTTTTCCACAGTGGTTGCACCAAGATGCATTCCCACAACCACTGTAGGACTGTTCCCTTTTCTCCACAGCTTCTCCAGCATTTGTTATTTGTGGACATTTGAATAATGGCCATTCTGCCTGATGTGAGGTGATACCTGATTCTAATTTTGTTTCATATTTCTCTGATAATTAGTGATACTGTGCATTTTTTCATGATCATTGATCATTTGTATGTCTTCCTCGGATAATTGCTTGCTTAGGTCTTTTGCCAAGTTTTGGATTGGATTGCTTGTTTTTTTCTTATTAATTCATATGGGTTGCTTCTATATTCTGGAGATCAAGCCTTTGTCGGTTTCATTTGCAAAAATTTTCTCCCGTTCTGTAGGTTGTCGTTTCATTTTCCTTATGATTTCCTTTGTTGTGCAGAAGCTTGTATGTTTCATTAGGTCCCATTTGTTTATTCTTGCTTTTATTTCTGTTGCTTGAGTCGAGTGCTGTAGGAGAACAGTTTTGAGATGTATGTCAGATAACGTTTTGCCTATATTTTCTTCTTGGAGTTTTATTGTGTCTTGTCTTATGTTTAAGTCTTTGATCCATTTTGAATTTGTTTCTGTGTATAGTGTGAGGGACTCTTTTAGCTTCACTGATTTACAGGCTGCTGTCCAGTATTCCCAACACCATTTGCTGAAGAGACTGTCTTTATTCCATTGTCTATTCTTGCCTCCTTTGTCAAAAATTAGTTGACCAAAAGGTAGTGGGTTCATTTCTGAGCTCTTTATTCTTTTCCATTGGTCCATAAGTCTGATTTTGTACCAATACCATGCTGTTTTGGTGCCTGTAACTCTATAGGATTGTCTGAAATCTGGAAGGGTTATTCCTCCATCCTCTTACTTTTTCTTAAGTAATTCTTTGTAAATTCTAGGTCTTCTATGGTTCCATATAAGTTTGATTATGATTTGTTCTACTTCTATGAACTATGTCCTAGGTAATTTGATACGGATTGCATTAAATCTGTAGATTGCCTTGGGCAGTGTGACTATTTTATCAAAATGGAAAGACATCCCATGCTCCTGGATTGGAAGAATCAATATTTTAAAATAGTCTTCTTTAATTTCCTTAATCAGTGTTTTCTAATTCTCCATGTGTAAGTCTTTCACCTCCTTGGTTAGTTTAATGACAAGGTGTTTTATTAATTTGGGTGCTATTTTAAAGGGGATTGTTTATTTACTTTCTTTTCCTTTTGGTTCATCATTAGTGTAAAGAAATGTAACTCATTTTTGTACGTTAATCTTGTAACCTGCTACCTTGCTGAATTCTTCATTTATTCTAGGAGTTTTTGTGTGGACCTTTTAGATTTTTCTATTTATATTATCATGTCATCTGCATATAGTTGACACTTTTACCTCTTCTTCTCTGATTTTGATCCCTTTAACCTCTCTCTCATGCCTGATTGCTGTGGCTAGGACTTCCAAAACTATGTTGAATAGGAGTGATGACAGTGGGCAGCCTTGTCTTTTCCCAGACTTTAGTGGGAAGCTTTTGAGGTTTTTACTGTTGAGTATTATGCTGTCTGTCGGTTTGTCATATATAGCTTTTATAATGTTGAGATATGTTCCCCTATACCCACTTTGCTGAGAGTTTTTATCATAAATGGGTGTTGAATTTTATCAAATGCTTTTTCTGCATCTATTGAGATGACCATGTGGTTTTTGTCCTTTCTCTTGTTGATTTGATGTATTACATTGATTGATTTGTGTATGTTGAACCACCCTTTTTTGTTTGAATTAGAGAGGTGGCAACTTGTGTTGGGTAACAGTAGGGAATTGTTAGAGCAAAAATGTGTCTGGAAGAACTTTTCCATCCCTTCTCCACTCTTACCTATGTCTTCCCACTACTTACTCTTCAAATGTAAGTCATCCTGGCTGTGCCCTAATGTATATGAGTTCATTTGTATTTCTTCCTGATAAGATTAGTCCCTGCCATGTGATCTCTCTCTCTGATCAGTTGCACATTCAGACATGCTCACAAGCAGGCCTCTGAGGATGTGTTAATAGAGATATGGGCTTCCTGGTCCATAGTATCAGGTCCTTCAGGACAAAGACCAAGTTAGAGCATTTAGCATGGTTTTGGGAATGATACAAGCATTCCAGCATCTCAAAGAATGCATCTTTCTTTGTCAAGCCTGTTATTTGCATACTTAATTCAATTCATATGTGCAACTAATATATAATTCAGTTGTTCTATGAAAAATAGTATCAGTAAAATGTAAGAAGAGTACATAAGTAAAACTAGCCTTTTGAAAGAGAACAGAGTAATATATTTGTTCTGGATTGTAGAATGAACAAGTGTAAACTCAAGTCATGCTATTTAGGGTAAAATTTTAATTCTTATTTAGTCCCATGCAGGGAGTAATGTGACTGACCCTCACTAATTCTTGCTGGGAGTCAGTTATGGATTGCTACTGACTTGCTGATAATGATTTTCTCATTTTATGCAGCTTCCTCCAGCTCTGCAGCACAATTTGAAAAGAAGGGTTATAGAGAGATTCAAGAAAACCTCTTCAGCCAGCAGATAAACACTTGCAACTTGAAATTTGAAATTAAAAAGGTATGGTGCTCTACATACAGGAATTCTTCTTTGGCTACCAAACAAAAACACATCGTAGGAATTAATTTGTCTGCCAAAATGAGCTTTCGTCATCTACTTAAGCTCTGCCCACTATGAAAGGGCATTGTCCATTGTTGTCTTAGTCCATTTGGGCTGCTATAGTAAAGATACCATAAGATGATGTGTTTATAAACAGCAGAAATTTATTGCTCATGGTTCTGGAAGCTGGAAGCCCAAGATCAGGGTGCCGGCATGGTCAGATCTGGCATGGACCCGCTTCCGGGCTGCAGACTGCTGACTTCTTGCTGTGTCCTTACATGGGAGAGGAGGCAAGGGAGCTCTCCCAGGGCTCCTTTTACGGGCATTTTAAAAAATAAGAACACTTATATAAGGACTTTATCCTTCTGGCCCAATTTACCTCCCAAAGGGCCCACCTCCCAATACCATCACCTCAGGGTTAGGTTTTAACATACAACTCCGTGGGGGACACAGACATTCAGACTGTAGCATCACTTGAGATAGTAAATCAAGGCTATGCCTTTGCCTCTAATTTTCTGACCTTCATTTCTGAAGCCATCAGTCTCAGAAGAGTAATAGAAAGTTGTTTCAATATTATTGCATGTTTTCCTAAAAAATGTTATTAAATATATCTAAGTGTGTATCTTTATATACATTTAATATAAAATATATATAATTTAATATCTCATACACACACACACACACACACACACACACACTAGATAGTTCTAGTCCAATTTTTATTAGGATACTCTTCAACAGACCCCTAAGTTGAGCTTTGCAACTTGGAACAAGTCAGCTAACATCTGAGGCCATGATTTTTCTCAGCTATAAGGATGGAATGAACCATTTCTAAGGTTCTTTCCATAATCGACATTCTGCAGTCTCCTAGACTGTGGGTGCTGGTAGGGGTATTTCTATTCTTAAATAAGGAAACCAAATCACCAGCAGGTTAAGCCAACCAGGCAGAAGGAGAATTGCTTATCTCTGGTTAGCACATCTTGGTGACAGAAGCCCCTTTGTCCTGTTTGGCAGCTGTAGGGACACAGGATCATCTTTGCTTTCAACCTGGCTGAGAGGCAGATTCAGTTACCCTCTGTAGGGTGCTCTGCCCCCTTGTCTGATATTTTAAGCTCGTGGTGGTTCACGCCCTTACGAAACCATACGATCAGGGAGGCAGGCCTTGCCTCCTGTGAGCTAAAGAAAGCTTCCATTTAGTGTATTAACCAGTTCCTCCACTGAAACTTTGTTTCCGCATCAAGAATTAATCTCCCCTTTCTCTATGCATTTTCACTCTTATTGTTGTTTTAAGTAGCTCATCATTCAAACAGACTTGCATTATTACGGTTTCTCCAAAGGCAGTGAGTGTGTCTTGTTTATCTTTGATTCCCCAGGGTCATACCCAGTGCCTGGTAGGTGCCTGATGGTTAATATTGTTGAGTATCAAATAGGTTCTAGGTTGGTGCACCTGCACGCTGTCTAACATGGCCTATGTTGGTTCTATTCTTTGTTGCTATGTATGTATTGATACATTTATATACTTCTGCCTGAGAAGAAAGAACCCACCTTGTCCCTAGTCTGAAAGCTAAATGAGGCGTTTGTGACCTGTTTTTCCCCCTTTGTGATGTAATCTTTAGCAGCGGGTTTTGTTCAGAAATGGCTTTTTCATCCACTGTGCCATCACAGAGGAGGGGCCCATTAGCTTTGACTTGAACAGCCGTCCCACACCATGGCCGTGGAAGCAGTGGTGACAATACACGAAGTGCTCTCAGTTTCCACCTCCCCCTCTGAAGCTCCCCCTGAAATCCAGTGACTCCGCACCTGCAGTCTGAAGGTATTTTCGTGGGATGACTGTGCCTTACTTATGAACCACCTGAGACCTGGGGTATACAGATGAGCCAAAATATGGACGAGCCCTTTTCTGAAAAATGAAGCTCTTTATTTTTTGACTCACCTGATGTGTCTTCGGTCCAGCCTGCTCAACCTTGGCTAGAATTGCAGGAGAAATAAAGCATCTGAGTAAATGGATAGGTGTCTCTGAGGACCAGGATTTTCAGCATGGGAGAGAAAAGCAGCAGAGACAAAATAGAAGGTATTAATTCAAATTAGAATTGGAAAGATCAGTATGAATGAGTATGAATTCATGATAAATCTTATCTTTTAAAAAATGCTCATATTTCCAAAAATTTCACTGTTTGTTTAGAAACTAAGCAATCAGCAGTGTGGTCCCTCTGCCCCCACAGCTTTGGAAATACAGCCACTGGCAGCTCTAGAGCAGAAACTGAATGAGACTAGGCTGGAATATCTTAACATCATATGGTACAGGGCAGGGATGCTGTCCATGGCTCCCAAGGGTGTGTCAGAGGACTCAGAAGCCCACTGCTCTCTGTTGGATAATTAGAGCATCAAAGAGAATGATATCCACAGTGGATCAAAGGCACCAACTAATGTTTAAATCTTCATGGTAGTGGGAAAAAAAAAAGAAAATCACTTACTGGTTACCTTTGAAAGACAGTGAGTAACCAACACCTTATTTCAAAAATTGTTTACAGAAGGAAAGAATCAAACATTTATTCTGCCTTTCCCTTGTGAATTCTGTCTCAGGGTAACTAAATTGATGAGAGGGAATTCTCTCATTACAGAACTCCCTCAGCTAATAAGTAACGAAGGTGTAAAAACACTGTCATTTTGCAGCCCCTTTAAAGAAGTGATGGGTGTAGACATGAGCCTTCTTGGCCACTGACTTCATGGAAGAGGGACAGCCGGGCATCCCATGCTTCCTCATGGGTGTGCGTAGCACCATCTGTGAAGTTTACCATAAAGTAAACTCTTGAACCTGCATCTGATGAGCCGCTAAGATTTAATTATTAGAAAATAGTGAGTGTAAATACTGACATTTGTGTAACAAAATGGCCTCAAAAGCCTAATAAAACCTAATAGAAAGGAGCTGTAGGTTAGAAGAAATGAAAAAAAAAAAGGTAATACTTTGTGACTTAATGTGTTAACATAATTCAGTGAAAGAGGACAAGGAAAACCTAAAGAAAGAAAGATCAGAGGCCTGGCGAGTGAAGTGTGATGAGAAAAGTGCTGAAACTTTTCTCACTTCTGACACCTAATCTCATTCATTTTGGCTTAATTTCCTTCCGAGTCCTGCCTCAGTTGATTAGCTTCGAACTCGTTTATGTAGTTGTCCCACAGCAAAGATAACCTTATTTTATGATATGAAAAGAAGATACAGTTTGGGGAATTTAATGAGGATTACATTTGTAGTTTCTTATTGTTTTCTTCTATTTAGTTTTTTGCCCAGAAAGTAACTGTGTTCTCAGTTGACCAATAAGGTGGTAAAATTGTTCAATATTTGCTCCACATCAGTGTGTTTGGGGAGGGGGAGGGTAGTGACAGTGATAGAGCTTTTTCTCTTTAAGAGCGACTTGTTTAGTTCAAAAGTACACACAACCATTTGCCCTTTGGAACTGTAGGTGTTTGTTCAGAGCAGAAGAGCCCTTTTATATCAGTTCAGAAGGAGGATCGTACACATTCTTCCAAGCAGAGCATAATGCCAAAGAGAGCAGGTATCCCTCAACTCAATATTCATGAGCCAAGAGAGGGCCCCACGGTGCTGGTCTGGGACTGGTGATCCACCTCGTGACATCAGCCGGCCGGAGAGGCCACTGCTCAGAAAGCTTCTGTTGTATCACCCAGATTTCCACCTGCTGGGTGAACATTTACTTGCTATGGTATGCTACTGGTATGCTACTGGTATGGTATGCTACTGGTATGGTATGCTACTGGTATGTCCAGGCTTGAACTCACCATCTTCCTCCTTTCTTTGCATCAAATATCACTGGCAGCATCCTTTTTCCTTCTGCTGGGTCTTCAAACCATGCGGTCACCTCCAGATGTTCCACTTTATCTCTTGCATCTCCTACCTCATTAACACTGAGGAGTCTTCATTGTGCACGTGGTTTTGCTTGGCCTTTGATATTATAGCCCTGGTGCTGCCACTTAGAAGTGAATTACTTTACATCTCAGATTCCTCACCTGTAAAATGGGCATAATGCCTTCCTTACAGGGTAGTTGTAAGAACCAAATAGAACATCAAATGTATCTAGAATGCAGTAAGCAACAACTAGTGGATGTAGGTGCTCCTGTTATTAAGTAAGAATATTTGAACTTCAGTAGCCATTCCTTCCTACTGGTTACCACCTAGTCTGAAGTCTTGGTACCCTTCTGTTGCTGATTTCCTGTATTTTTTTTAAAAACAACTTTTATTGTGGTATGGTTCCTATACAGTAAACTACACACATTTCAGATGTACACTTTGATGGATTTTGATAGATGTCTGCACCCATGAAACTACTGCCACACTCAAGATAGCTAACATATCCAGCACTCC